TGTGAGCTCAATCCTGCCACAATTCAAAAGAATTTGCATGTGCTAGGAAACCATCACTAACACACAAAGGAATTCTCACATGTTAAAAGACCTTTGACTTGTAATTGAACATGAGAAGTAGATAAGTAGATAGATATTTAATGTTTAGACAAAAAGAAATTAAATTCCATCAAAAGGAACTTTGAATCATAAAAATAGATACATTGATAATTAATTCTATTAGTTGTGTTGAAACAATAAATAATGGCAAAGAGGAAAGCTTCCCTAGGAAGAAGCAATCCCCAAATAATTCCCCATATTCCACCTAATGTTTTGACTAGTTGAAATCCAGTTGAAACAAGAACTAAACAAACTGTTCAATAACAAGGACTAGCAGGCAGTATTTTTGTGCAAAAATTCAATCCCTTATTTATTTTGCTGATATTCTTTACAGTAAAATATAAACATTGTATATGTTTAATTGGTATATTATTAAAAATAACACATTAAACAGTTTATAATTAATAGTTATTGACAGGGTGTTTAATGTGTTAGTTTTGTAATTTGGCATGAAGTGTATGTAAAAACATTGTTGATATATTTATTGTTTTTAAATATGAAAATTGTTTACCAGTAATTTGTATATTATTTTTTTAAAGCTTTAATAGGAAATACTTCTCATAAGAGGTTTGAAAATGAAAGTAAAATGATGTTCATGACAAAACATTTATTATTGAAAGGCATTAGAACTATATATTAAAACATTCTTGTCAGAAGTAAAATTTACATTAATAGGTTCACATAGTTTTTTGAAAATATCACATTTTATCAAAATATCCAAATATTCAATAATTTTTAATATTTTTAGTTTAAATTTTCATGATATTTCAGTATCAATGGCCAAAGACATACTAAGTGAAAAACCTAATATTACTTTCTATCAAAAATTCAGAAGTGATGAAACTGAACATGTCCAAAGTAGTAATATATTTGCTGAAATTAAGTCCAAAAAAATGTTCAGGTGGCTTGTATTCATCACAAAGTAATAGGTTTAGTGAATTAATATAGCTTACTATTTTTAAAAATAAATTACTTATGGCTTTAAATTTTATGTGTATTAAGTTATGTCATGAAAAAGAATTATAGAAAACTAAATGGGGGACCATTTTGGAAGTGTTGCATAGGGTTCATACATTGGTGCCAACCTTTTAAATATATGTACTAGTGGGCTCAAAATGGGAGTAAACTGGTTGTAAAAATTTGAAAGAAAAATAAATGTAAATCAATCAAATCCAGTATTAATGTTATACATTTGTTTATATAGAAAAATTTAGATTAAGATATAAAATATACATTAACATTAAAATATGTCTAACATCCTAGCATTTTGATGTTTTAGTGTGACAACAGATAAGTTTCAAAACTGCCACTAAAATAATGTAATACTCTAAATAAATGCTTTACAAATTAAAATGAATCAGTCTGCCAGAAAAACATGATATGTTACAAGATGATTTTCAGAATATTGCTAAAAATTGATCATACAAAATTAATTTATTGTATCACCTCCAAACTTGGTACAGACATCCTATCAGGCATCATATTATGCCCAGCTATGTTCTGTTTTTCATCAAAAAATGAAAATTTCTGCATATGACTTTATGAATGAATCATTGCATGTCTTTCTTGCTTGTGTTCAAAATCTGCACCTGCTGAAATCATCTATTTAATCTCCCCAATTTGGCTCAGAAATATTCACTGTAGACCCTATATATCATTTTATCTGAGAGATACTTCTCCTTGAAGAGGTTATACAACTTGAGGATGTTGAGATGAGCATCTAGATACTTGCCCACCAGTGGCTGAGTGGATAAAACCACTGAACACTGGTAGTTGGTCACGGGTTCGTATCTTGCCAATAGGCTGGCCATGTGGAGTTTTCTGGATTTTCCTCATGTTTGTAACACCTAAATATGGGACAGTTTCCCTTAGAAAGTCCTTTGTGGAGGCATCTCCATCTTGGCTCATTGGTTATTGCAATGTGAAATGAGGGAAATTAAAACTAAACTAAAAACTAAGCATCTACATACTTCAGAGATGTGTTTCCATAATCTATCTTTTTTATGGGAAAGCTTCAAATGAATGTGCTCATTAGTGTTTCTCAAACGGGATTCTGGGATCCCGGTTGTTTTTTTAACCCGAGAAATTTTTCTTATCCCGGGAAATCCTGCAAATTTCTTAAAAATTCACTTTTTTTCTTATTTTGTGTTAAGGTTAAGAAATTTTGCAAATAAAAAGCACAACTATCTCATTCACTGTCAGAATACATTTGTATTTATTAATTTTAAACCTACCTATTAGTTTTTTTAAATTTTTGCTCGTTATAGCATGTCACAAATGGTCAATAATCAATATATAGCTTATTTGTGGCATGACTATAAAAATTCTTTACTTGTCGGAACCTGTAATATCTGGAATAATTGTGCTTACGCTGTCTTGAGTTTTAACCATGCCCAGTAGCTTCAATAAATGCCTGACGCCAGATTGTGCAAATTGGGCAAGGATACAAACGAGTACAAAGTCTGCAAGTATGAAGTTTTTCTTCATAAACCTGATTATTAAAGCCAAATGAATTGCCGAATTATCGAGCTCTAAGCTTGATGCCGCTATTAAAGCAGCCAAGGTAGACAAATCAAGAATACTAGAGAGCGAAAGAAGTACTACAATCTCGAAAACGAACTCGAAAGCTTCCAGGCTACAGGTGAAAAAACACATAATATCTGTCTTCTCTTAAATGCATTAAACACTATTCCAATCACATCAATTGAATCGGAAAGGGCATTCTCGGTGGCAAGACTTTTCATTACTAAAATAAGAATTAGAGTGAGTTATCGGAGTATTGACCATCTTTGCTTTTTAAAATCTTATAAAAGTTTGCAATATTTTGTATTATATTTTATTTAAAAAACGAAAATTACCTTCTAAATTAGAAGTTCATTTTTTTTAATTTTTAACTCAATTCAAAACTTTTTTTTTGTTGTTGTTGTATGCAGTTTCCAGCAAACTTTAATTAATTTTTTTCTATTTGTGAAAATTTCTACGTTATTTAAAGGTAATTTTTATTATAGGCCTATAGACCTTACACAGCATTATTAATATGATTTTGGAGGTTACAGAACTTTAAAATTACTTTAAAAAATGAAAAATAATTATATCATTTAATTTCAAGATATTTTGTATACTTTAAAAATAATTAATTCTATCCCGGGATTTCCCGGGATCCCGGTAAACAGTTCACTTTTATCCCGGAATCCTGGGACAAGCAAAAGACCAGGAAATGAGAAACCCTAGTGCTCATCTGCATGCTGCTTCAGCTCAATTTCATATTTCCACAGCTTTCATGCCAATCTTGCAGGTCATGAGGGACAAATCAAATTTGAGCAGCTGCCAGATGTTTTCATATGTTGCCATGAACAGCAACAAATACTTTCTGACATACAGTAATGTCTTCTAAATCCTCTCTAACAATGTATACAAAGGTAAATGCATGGGGCTTACTGTTGTTGCAAGGACATGTTCTCCATGTGTATTTGTGATTGAAAGTAGGTGTCTTCTTCATCTTTATGGCAATTTGTTCATTCTCTTTATAAAAGCCTGGAATCAGTAAATTTCTGGAAAAAGTGTTTCTTACAGCTGATATGCAGATGTGGACAGCCACAATTTGTCCTTACACCATTCTAGTGGCACTTTCACATCTTAATGGTTTACATGGATTCTCCCAGACACATTTTCCCTTGTCTATAGAATTTTTTTTTTTTGTTTTCAGGCCTAAAATGCCTCTCCTTGGATGTGCTTGGCATGCCCACTGACCTTTCCATCAGGAAAAAAATCATACTGAATCTCGAATCATACTTTCCTACAAACTGACTGCTGCACAGAGGCAGATGCCATCTTGAAATCTGCAACATATCATGACTGAAACATAATATTCCACCCCATCACATTTAGCAAAAAAGGGATATGTCATGACTACTTCCTTTTATGCCCTTAACAAAAACTCTCTCATCTCATATCTTAGCAAGGACCCAACAAGTCCATTCTTTCCCTAAGAAACACAATTCCACTATCAACTCAAGCCAAACCCCTGACTTATGCTTTTTCCCTCAAACTAATTCAAATGTCTTGTAACTTGTGCACCTTTATTTTACTAAAAATTGTGGTTAAAGTATTCTACTATGCAAATTGTTCTGAAAAAAAATGAATTATTCTAGGAGCCAAAATTATTAGAATTATAGCATCAAATTATATAGATTTGTGAGCCTCACAAATCTATATAAGTTGATTAGAAAATTCTTGGAAATTCCTTAATCCTGCATCTGCAGGTGTATAGGAATGCTACCAGTAATTCAATGATCCAAAACTATGGTTTAATTATGTTTATTTTGGTTTATTACATAATTAAACTATAGTTTTGGATTGTTGTATTACTGGTAGTGTTCCAATACACCTGCAGATGCAGGATTATGGAATTCCCAAGAATTTTCTAATTGGAATATAACTGGTATCCCAACAAAAAAAAAACTATATAAGTAGGTGCCACTAGGCCCACGTATATGAAATTATGGCATTCAGCATAAAAGATACAGAATAATAAGTACTGGTTTGTTTATCATATATGCTGACTAATTAAAACAGAACTTGGATATGGTAAATTATTTCCTTATGAAGCTTTAAACATGTTCCAAAGAATATTTTCTAAATTGTATCAAAGCTTAAATTCATCCCATGCTTGATGAATTCAAATGTATTCATGCCATGTATAAAAATGAAGCTAAAGTTTAAAAAATATTAATGTTGGAATAAATTGGATTTTTATAGTTTAAAGAGCCATCTTTACTTCATTTATATAATTTAAGAATCAAACTACATCTTTAAATCATAATTTATTCTGAGATGTTACTTTCAATTATTTATATAAATATAAGGTAGCTTCAGTTTTCAGTTTTAAGAATATCACTTACCATTGAGACAGCTTAGCATAAATCCTAAAGGAAGAAGGGGATCCATTGCTGATAACATACGAGATGGAGATGGCACCATATCCAAAATCATTGGAGTATAAGCACAAAACAAGGCATCTGGTTTTCGAATTCCTAATTCAATAGTTTTTAATGTCAATGCTGTCATTAGATTTCCTCCAGCACTATCACCAACCAAACATATTTTCTCTCCATTAAAACCTGTTAATATTTTCATAAATCATTATGAAAATAATCTTAAACATCTATTATATTAAATTTAAAACCATCTTTTTATTTAAAAAAATTCATTTTTATAATAATCATAACATGCATATACAGAAATATAAATTACTATTAAATTTAAAATATATGTATAGTATGTAGCAAAAAAATTGCAACAAATACAATGCCTCTTTACTTTTTTATTTCTCAATTAAATCACAAAATGTATTCACAGCCATAAACTACAAACTTGACACTTATGATTAGTTATGAAAATTAGCACTTAATCAATGCCACTATTCTTGATCTTCTGAACTGGCTTAAGGCCAGTCATTTCAGAAAATCAATGTTGTAGTATATGAACCACACCATTAATGCATGCCCACATGTGCAGGATGCACTGTTCAGCAAGACAATGCATGCCCATTGTCTTGTTGAAGAGTGTATCCTTCCAGACAGAATAAACCCATCCAAAAAACATTCATGCAAGATGTTTTGATATTGTTCAGTGTTAATGGACCTTCATATGATTTTGAGTAAAAGATGAACCTTATTGCAATTTTTTCACTGCATATCTTAACTAATAATATATACGAATAACATTCAAATCTTCATAACAATTAAGAAATACTTTGTAATATATGTTTCTAATTATGTTTATAATTAGTTTTAAATAAATGTTGAAGTTGTAATCATGAAAAATTTATTATTATTGTAATAATCATTTCCTCAAATGATTATTATAATAATAAATGAAATAAAGTGTAATGTATGTTATAAATCAAAATCTTTAAAATTTATTATTTATTTCTATTGTATAAATAGATGATTATTGCACAGAAACTGAAATAAATTAATATTAAGTTAAAACTATTCAACAATTTTTAATTTTATCTTTAAAACAATTTTCTAATAATAGAACATGAAAATTTGTTTTCAACATTATTTTGTGACAAATTTATATGATATTAATTATTTGTTATTTTAATTCTATATTTTTCTTGATTTTCAAAATCATAATAAATGGATTCTAAAATATAAGTTACTTAAACAAAATCTTAATTGACTCTTTGTTAAAGAAAATGTGTAAAATTTTTTTGGATTGAATTAACATTATATACAAATTACAATATTTTCTTGAATTGTATTTATGATTAAATTTACTTTTAATTTAATTTTGTTTTAAAATATTTCAGTGTAATATATTCTGAAAAAATTTTTTCTGCAGTATATTTTTGTAATACTGATTCCAATGATGATACAAATATTAAAATATTTAAGTATCTATTTTTCATTAATTTATTAAAATTATGAAATTCTTGATATTAAACTTGTTACAGAAAAATTATAATTCATTCACAAGGTCCTTTAAGTTAATGAGCAAAGTGAATCATCAAGTATTGTAAAAACTATAATTTCCAGGAAACAGTCTTAAAATAAAAAAGTTAACTTATTAGAAAATTATCATTTTTAATAATGTTTGGGATAAGTGAAATAAGATAAAATTACACATCATTTTATGAATGAAGTGAAACTCCATTTATCTGGATTTCTGAATTATCCAGACTATAAAATAAAATCCCTGTCTCAGAAGTATAAAAAATAGATATATGGAAAACCTATATATGCAAAAAAATCAAAAAGCTCTTAAGTACATTCTTGCCTGAAAGTAACATCACAGCTTATAAGAACAGACTTTGTTTTTTTATGAATTGGCATATAATGTTCATTGTTATGCATTCTGTGGGAGTGTTCTTTGACTTCACTTAATACCTTGTTAAATCTTTTCTAATCTTTTAAGATTTTCAATTATAAAAAATTGCTAATTTCCTATTGAATAAAAATTTTGTGTTTCTCACAATGGTCAATGTGTTAATAAGTTTATCATTTGTAACCTTGCAAGTTATCATTTATTCAATATCCACAGCTATTATTATTTCACTGAGTTTCAGTCACATTCAATCTTTTGTGAAGTAAACATCTTGAAAATGTCATCTAAAAGAAGGAAAGTGGTTGTTACAATGAAAAATAAATTATAAATATAAAGTAAACTGTGTTATTTACTGTATATTGCTAATGAATTTCCAGATTATCCAGGCCTGGTCCCATTTAAGCCTCATAAACAGGGTTCCACTATATTTCTAAATCTTATTAGTAATATCATAAATGAAATCTTATATTTAGAGCATTCTTAAGTTTTTTTTTACCATTACTTTTTTCCTCATTAATTACTTTCATTTTTATTTAATATCTTTATTATATAATATTACAAATAAATTTGTATACCAAGTTTATGACCATTTTCTAGAACCCAAGCATAGACAAGAAGAATTTCTTCTAAAGCTCTTGGAAAAGGTGCTGCTGGTGCTAAGGAATAATCAATTGATAAAACAGGAATGTTCAGTTCTTTAAGCCCAATCTCTGATAAATCTAAAAAAAAAAACACAAACATGTTTAATGACATTAAATTATAATGTATAATCAATCGTTTATTAATTGTTAGAGAAATTTCATTTTAAAAATGATTGCATTAAACTAATACTGTTGTAATAATTATTTAATGAAAATAAGTTTTAATTTTTGAATTGTTTGTTAAAAATTAATTACAAAAATAATTAAAATAATGATATATAAAACACATTTTATTCACAACTTATTGAATCAAAATTATAATACCTTCAATTTCAAGGAATGTTATAAAACTGCATCATTTAGTGTTGCACTAACTAGTATTTATGAAAATAAAATATTCCAATCACCAATATGATAAGATTAAATTAATAATCCTGCAAGCTCTAATTAATGGCTTATAGTTTCTAGTCTTCATTTGTTATTTCATTCACTCTGTATATTCTTTATTTAGAGATAATGAAATGCATGATAACTGATATATTTGCTTATGTTATTCCTACCTTTCTCATTTCATATTAGCTTTTTTATATTGTTTAATTATTATATTTAATAACACTTTTTATTTTATTTTATTTAGAATCATTCATTGGTTGATGGGTAATCAGCTATTTTGTAGCACTAACTGGTAGTGCCAGCTTGATGAGTGAGGAAATGAAGCAATTGCATCAAGTAGCAAAATGAGTGGTCAAAAATGTTGTTCAAAAGAAAATAATAATAATAATAATAATAATAATAAACCAACATTCGTGCTTTTCCAACAATTACTTTAAAAACACCAAAAAGAATTATTTCTTCTATTTATAAATATCAATGAGTAACTCTGTTAACGTTTTGTTATTAATTCTGGAGTTAAAATACGTAGATATTAATGTTACTAATGTCATCATCATCAACGTTATTACTAATGAAAACTACATTTAATACTAATCTAACGACTGCCGATTTACGANTCAGGCACAAAACATTTATGCATTTCAGGATCCCTCTGCAGAACATTATAATTTTTTACATATTTAAAATAGTAATTTTTATTTATTATGATTCTCTTAAGCTAAAGCAAAAAATTACAAAAAACAGTAAAGACAACTAAGTATAATTGGTAGCACATCATATTGTGTCTGAAGCATGTTGTTAATAGATTTTAGGTACAGGCCTTTTACTTTTAGCTTAGTAATTTTTATTTATTATGATTCTATTTTAAATATGTAAAAAAAAATCATAAACGTTCTAAAGAGAGGATTATATCAGTAGTCACCCTGAAATGCATAAACATTTTATACCTAAAATGATACTTTAATAGTAAATAAAGGCATCTGAATTAATTGCAGTCTTAAGAATTCACCTGTTTGAATATTGGAATTGGAACACTTAAAACACTGAAATATTTAAATTACAAATTTACATTATTTAATTCAATCAGTATGTTTGGAAAGATAAAAGATATATAGTACAGTCTGCAGTATTAGTTTGTTCTATGGAACCACCAACTCTCAGAAAAGCAATGTATAAACTTCTATGAGGATACAACTCTTCTGTGCCATAAATTAAGTGGTTGGTGATTGGGAAGAACTGATCATCATAAAAAGGAAAAAAATAATAGATGACAGAGAAAAATTTCATTCCTAAAAAATTTGAACAGAATAAGAAATAAAAGTGATTGAATGGTTTGGCAACAATGTTTTCTTATATATAAATATAACTTCCTGTTGCTTTTTTATATTCCTTTCATCATTTCAGTAATAAAGTCATCTTGTTGTGAAAAATTCCATTTCTAGATGATATCATATCACTAATTGGTAATTTTAAAATATAGCACATTATGCTAAATTAACTATTTAAGTTTGTGTGTGAAATATTAAAAATGTTATAAGGCAATATTTATTATATAATATAAATGAAAACAAATAAGAAAATGAATCCTTTATTATCATTAATAATCATTCTGTAGAATAAGCACTATCAGAGTACCTATTAATGTCAACTTAACTTACTTCGTGAGATTCTGGTGTTTGTGCAATAAATCCACCACCATGACAATGCAATAAAATTGCTGGAGATAATGGTGCAACTTTCGTACGGCATCCAGCAGTACTTGAATTCTAAAATAATGAATAATAATTTTACTTTTTTAAAGAGTGATTTAGTGCATAATTTTGTAATATTTTTTTTATTAACGTAATTATTGAACACTAATTATGATAAAATTTTTAAAAATGCATGTTTATTTTATAATTGTTATCACATTATATACAATGCATCATATGAGCAGCTCTATCATGCTGGCTTAAAATAACTTTATGTTGACATTTGTTTTAGGTTTTTCAGATGTCTGCAATGACATCTGAAAAACAAATGTCAATATGTCACTTTTTATACATTTTCATGTTCATTATCATTTCATTGATAATTAATAGTTTATCAATGAAATGATCACCCAAGTTCTCTGGGAAATGATTTGTATTGTGCAATGCTTGAAAGAATGTCTTTCAGTTCAATTAGTCCATCAGCAACAGAACATTGTTGGTTACTTACCTGATGACTATTCTGTTTCAGTGCCACTTTCAGTTGCAACTGTTATTTTTGTTGCACTTAAATTTTTATTGATTCCATCTACATTAAAAGTTATTGTAGTAGCCTTCTGAGCCACTACAGTAATGGCAATGGAATCTGCCATCCTATCAACATCTGTCATTTGACCACACCTGTGTTCAACAACAAATTTATATTTCACAAAGCACTTTTTGATAAGTTTCAGGTTTCACTTCATTCCAAGAACTCTTTAAATCAACTTAGAGCAACACCTAGGATGTGTGAAGACGACTGTCTCAAGTTGCAAAATGAGTGGTAAAAATGTTCAAAAGGAGCAAAAAATAATAATAATAATAAGCTGAGTACAATGAAGTCTTATAAATATATTTTAAAGTTGTTTATAAATAATTCATATAAAAGTGAAGTACTCTATACAAATAGAAGTACTCTATATTAGCAACCATTCTGAAAGCAGGAACAGCAAAAATCAACTTTGCCTTAAGTAGAAGTTATCAAGTAAGCACTAGCCACACCCATCTCAAAATGCCATGAACATAATATAAGGTTAGTGTAGATAATGATTGGTGATACCTTTACTCCATTCTTAAAATTAACAAAGGTATACATGATTCTAATTTTCAATTAGAGATTCAGACTATGTACAAAAAATTATTTAATTTTTGAGTCTATCAATTAATCCTTTTTTCATACACCATAGAAGTAGCCTTTGCATTGGTTTGAAGAAATCACTTCATAAAAAACGAATAACAATAGGTAAAATTTACAATTAAAAACGATCAGACGTCAGCCTTTCATTTTAGGTATCTGACGCCTTAACATTAAAAATTTAGTAAATCTTCTCACCAACTGCCAAGTTTTATACCATCTTTTACAATTTCATGAGTTCATCATGAAATTGTAACTATATGCAAATCAAAGATAACTCGTATCCACCAATAGAGGGCTTGAACCTGATACAGATGGTATAAAACTTGGCAGTTGGTGAGAAGATTTACTTAATTTTTAATATTAAGGCGTCAGATACCTAAAATGAAAGGCTGACGTCTGATCGTTTTTAATTGTAAATTTTACCTATTGTTATTCGTTTTTANTCAAGTAAACAATACATACAAGTACAGTACAGTATTTTCTGAGGAAACACTCATACTTATTTTTTTTAACCCCATTCCCAATAACCCGGCATTTTCACAAACTCGGCCATCCTTCGGTCCACATTAGGCCGAGTTTTCGAGACTCTACTGTATTAATTGTATACAATGACTGTTGTTAAAGACTGAAAAATTGGCATACAAACAACATATACTAAATTATTATTAATTAATAATAATAATTAGAATTAATAAATCTTCAAATCACACAATCTATAGCTGTTTTAGAATGTCCTTTGAGAGTCAATAAAATAAGATTTTCTAATTTTAGTACTGTTTATTTAACCCACTTAATGTTTTCATTTGATTATTGTTATTCATATAAATCAGCAAATTAAATGCACAAAACAAAGTTCCAACAGGAAAAGAAAGAAGAATAAAAAGAAGAACAATTTTATTTTGACATTGTTAAATTCTGCAAAGAACAAAGCAATAATGAATTTTTATGTAAACTAGCTACAGCTTTAATACCGTCAGATTGCTCTTAACAAGATAAATCATCCACCATTAAAACTTTTCTAGTAAATTATATCAAGCACTCAAAAGCTTCTTAAAGAAGAAGCCCTGTTAAAGAAACTCATATTCATTCATAAAAGTTTCTATGCAGTTCACTTTCTAAGCTTGAGGAAAGTAGTCTGTATATCAAGTAAGATTTATAAACATGCCAAAAACCAGTTGGATGGATTTGCTTTAGAGAAACTGGAACATTCTCTGAGCAAAAGTCAGTAATTAAAATAATCAAAATGTAATTTCCAAGTCTCTTCAGTAACAAAGCTTGGAGTTTTTAGTGAAAAACCAAATATGCTCCTCTAACATCTGTTGATATTGAGAAATATTTTTTGCAGTTCAAAGATTTATTTTTCTTACACTATCAATGACTGACCATGGAAAATGTAAAATTATTGTGTGTTTGCAAGTATGATGCATTTTATGTTTGTAAATTATGAAAGTGATGGATCAGATTGTAAAACTGACTAACTGATTTAAATTTGTTATCATCAAGTTTTAAGTGTGCTATATACACAATAAAATAATAGTTTTATTTTCATATATTTTTAGCATCCACAAACCTAATTTTTAATTAATGCCAAAAGATCTGCCATGTTTCAGATTAAAATATAGCAGATTGTTTGGAATTTTAAGAGCACTTTTATTCATAAAAAATCCATCACTTTTTACTTAGCATCCACAGTAACGAAGTTACTTAGTAACGAATATTCGGTTACTATTCGGCCAAATACTGAATACCTAAAAACAGGAGTAAGAAATAACAAAAACACAGTAAATTAATCATTTTGATATTTAGATTTAATGTTATCGGGTTAGTGTTGTTTGTTTATATTTATTTATAATTTATAACATGCACAAAATAAAACAGAAAATAATATTAGTCACATGTATTCACAATTTATAATTACAAAGATCAGCACATGTACACACCTATTCGTTTGAGAATCGTCACACATCTGAGGGTCTGACCCTGCCTATCCTTCTTTTTAAGCGCTCAACTTTGCTCTTCCCTTTCTCTTTCCTCTATCGCTCTAGTCCACGTATGCCTATGCATATATCATAATATGCGCTCACGATACTTTCAATTCGTCACTTCTCCATCGTAGATTTCCCATTTTACAATTACGTTACTCATAGCCTGATGATAATGGAGAAAAGAGACAGATAGGATGTCAGTATAAGTCACAGTTATGGTTTCACAGATTCGAGACAGCTTGGTAGCCCGAATGGCCCCAGGCTTTCGCTCGTGCACACTAAGTGACTTTCATTACAAGCATTTAGCTTTCTGAAGTCTATGACAACAATTGTTTGGCATTGATGGCCACGAATTTCACGCCAGTAAGTTGCCTTAACTTGTTCGATTATGTTATCAACTCAATTTCATATTTATTTTCACATTTTCACTTCACGGTCCTTCTCTGTTCTTTTTCCATTATTTACACGTGTAGGTCATTTCATTGTTATCCACATTTGATATCATCGTTTATCACATACTGCCATGACGCTCTTGTCTGTCTGCTACAACTGTCAAGAAATAACACAATTGGCTAAGCGTAGTGACAGTGAGCCAATAGAGAGCAGGGTCCTTGCCATAATGCGGTTTGCGAGCCAATTTTTGTACATGCATTAATCAAGCCGAATAGTTTGGCTGAATATTCGGCTATTTGGCCATGCTCCTGGCCGAATGTTCGGTATTCGGCCTGAGGCCAAATATACTATTCGTTGCAACACTAAAATTTACACCTTAACATTCCAACTATATATATTACATTTTTGCATTAATGATATAATGTTGATAATGTAATACAGTGGGTTATTGGTTAATGAACATAATTTTTTCCAAGACCATGTTCGCTATCCGAATTGTTTGTTAACTGATTATCAATTTACCATAGATTTTTGTGGAAATTTGATTACAGTAATACCCCAAACTTACGCGATAGGTGGGACCGAGCGATAACCGCATAAGTCGAATTCGCGTAAGTCGGGGTATAATTCTGCAATTTATGTAAAATTCAAGTCGAATGTATGTAAGCTAATAAATGTTCTCGTTAATCTTATCTCGTCTTTTGATTCGTTCACGGTTACAAGAAATTACCACGTAGTGTCTCTCAAGTCTCCGTAGATATAACAAACACAGAAATAAATAACACAAAATAAATTGTAGCTATGTGTCGATTCCGTGCGACACGTCTGAACATGTAAGCCGAACAATAGTGTGGGGGGAGGGAGTAATCAAGAGTTGCGTGGCGCTCAAACAAAAGACGAATCAACGAGATTTGAAAATCGCATAACTCCGGGTTCGTGTAAGTCAGGGTAGCGTAAGTCGAGGTATTACTGTAATTCATTCTGGAGAACCCAAAAAATAAATAAAAACTTATATGCTTTCTTACTGTTTATTTACATGTAATAACAAACTAAAAGTAATCTCTCCATTTCTTTATGGATGCCACATCTTTGTTTCTCAGATGCGATTTTCATTACTCTTACTCTTTGGGTTGTTTATATTGTTACTCTTACTCTTTTATCTGCTTGAGTCTTTTTGATTATATCTTTCTTAGCTAATTGTATCTACTGTAGACCTGTTGAAGTCATCTACCTACAATATTAGACATCTTCTGCCCACTCTCTACTTTGGCTATCATCTCTTGCTTAGTTTCTATAGTGAACACAGTTCTTGACACTCCACTCTTTTTAAGCCCCATAATATTATCAGTTTTTTAAATAAAAAGTTTAGAAAAGCACTTACAAAATTCAGAGAACAGAAATTTACTAGTGCAAAAACAGTTATGTATACAATTGTGAAAGTCTCGTTCCATAAACCATGTATAGATGCCATTAAAATATAGTTTTACAAATCTTAAATATAGTGTCGCTTCTTGTGTTTGTTCTGCCAGGTTTCATTATCCGAACACGTGTTTGTTGTCCAAACATAAAAATCTTTCACAAAAGTGTTCACAGTCCAAACTGTTCATTAACCAATCACCCACTTATTAGGTTTGTAATCATCATCTTAATCAAAACTTCATATATTTATTTAATGAGTATTAACTTAAGATGTCTGTAATAACTAATTTGCATAAACAAGCTAAATCATACCATAGTATTATTTTAAGTATATCTAATTCAAGAACTGATTTGTGTACAATATCAGTTCTTAAAATCAGGAATTATTTTTAAATAAACTTATTATCTGAAAATCCAAATGCAATTATTTTTGAGGCAATATTATAAATATAATTAGAAAAATATTTAAAACTTCATTTATTTAATTATTAATTAATTTTAATCAAATGTACTATTTGCATACACATACTTGTCCTTCACGACGAACATAAGATAAAAGACGACAACGAATGGCAGCAGTTGGCAAATGTGATGTAGGAACTGGTATTTCTATTAATTCATTTCCATCCACTGAAGGTACATTTATGGCTTCTGCGGGTACATATATTTCTTCTCTAACTGTAGGTGTTGGACAAAGTAAATTCGGAACATTCTACATCAAATTAAAAATTTCTATATTCCAACTTGAAATATTAATATATAATTATAAATTATAACTTCAAAAACAGCTTTATAGTATTTAATACTATTAAATAACAAACACAAAAAGAAACTAAAAATTTAAAGTTATTTTAACAATGATAATTATTGCATAATTTGTAATATATATTAAATTTCTTTTGTATTTTTCTAATTCATTGTTCTGTGTTAATATTTTAGAAATAGTACTAATAATATTCTATTTAGTTATAACAATGACTAAGTTTTGATATTTAACACTATAATCACACAAATAATAAAATTTATCAAAATTTATAATACCATATTATTCTATTAATAAAATTATATAATATTCTAATAATAAAAATTCTATGCCTCTAAAGAAAGACAGGGAGAAATTAGATTTACAGTTTTAAATAGAAAAATTTTCAATTTACAATTCTTTATATAAATTTTATTAAATACCTTTTACACTCAATTTTATCTTTAAAGTTTTATCTTGAAAAATTAGTAATCTGAATTATCCTATATATGTTCTTCTAAAGCAAATTTGTATATACTGTATATATAAAACTATATTAAGGATCTATAAATGTATTATAAAACTTTAAAAAAATGTTTTATGAGTTTTATTATTAAAATAAATTTCAAACATGTTTAAAATAATAAAATTGGTTATTTAATGTGTTAAGTTTTTCTCACATAATTAAATTATTTAAATTAGTCCTTGATAAGAATTCAGAATAGCTTTTCAACTTTTTAATATTTTTTGAAAATTTAAAACAATATTACTATAATAAAAATTTCACTTCTAACCAAAATTACATTTATGAAGGATAACTATTTGTTTTTACTTGAACATTGTTTTTACTTGAACATTGTTTTTACTTGATCATATGTATTTAAAAAATACATATGATATAAAATCAAGTTCAATTATTTTATCAATTGAAACAATTTTACAATTAATATTTTTAATTCTGCTTATTATTTATTAATATCAAAAATTCAAAAAGTCTTTCTAAAATTGAAAACTATATATATATATATATATATATGAAATAATGATGATAATAACATTAATATGATGTTTATATACTGTATATAGTAGAGCCCTACAAACTAGACTTAATGAGGGTTAAGCAGTGGCATGCGGTGACATTTGATGATAGGGAAGCTATGCCAGCTGTGGATTGGAAGCATTATACAATATTTTGGTGTGTAGCATCCATGAGCTAAACTGCATGAGGTTGATGCTCTGTGAGGTGCATGCATGAATGCGTATGATCTGGCTGCTTTACATGATTCAAATTTTTTGCCATGGAAGATGTCCCGTATTTGACAATACAGTGTTTCCATAGGGAATATAGGAAAAAGGAGGAGGATTGGTTAGATGAGTGTCGATGCACTAACTATAAAACAACAACATGAATAAAATCTGATGTCAATACAAGCAAAAGATAAAAGATGCTGACTCGGACATTGCCCAGATAAACAAGGTACTGTACAGTACATGACACTGAATGAGCAATCGGAGTTGGGTTGAAAAATTGGCTACCGAAAGAAAGAAAAGAAAGCTTCACCCAGCAACACAAGTCCTTTCAGTAGGAACTTGGAATATCAGAATGTTATGGTCACCTGGAAAACTAGAGCTTCTTCAGAAGGAAATGGAGAGATATCAATTCGATATATTAGGCTTAGCAGAGATGCGTTGAACAATATTGGGAGAACTGAATGGTGGTGAAATCATCTAGTCGGGATATGATACAAGGCATGAAGCTGCTGTTAGATTTCTGCTTAGTAAAAGAGCACGAGCAGCATTGTTAAGATACAATCCAGTTAGTGTAAGATTGATGATCGCAAGGTTTGAAGCAAAGCCATTTAATATATCAGTAATCCAGGTATATGCACCTACCTCAGATAGCAGTGAAAAGGAGACTGAACTTTTCTATAAAAATCTATGCAAGATAATAGAGAAAACACTGCAGAGAGATATGATCATCATTGGAGGTGACTGGAATGCTAAGATTGGAAATAATAATGAAGCAAGTAGGAAAGGTTGGGTAAGTATGGATATGGAGCAAGGAATGAACGAAGGGAAAGACTGCTTGAATTTGCCCTGGATCAAGATTTAATGATATGCAACACCAAATTCCAGCAAAATAACCGTAGAAAATGACATGGAGATCAAGTGATGAAATAACAAGAAACATGATTGATATGATTTTGATCCAAAGGAGATGGTCAACATCTGTTCAGCAGTGTCAAACTGTTCAGGGAACCGACATAGATTCTGATCACAGCTTAGTCATTGCAAACATAAAGATAAAACTGAAGAGGAAAGTTAATGCACATTTCCAAAAGATGCGAGACATTTCAAAGCTAAAAAATGAAAAAATAGGGAGCATATACTGTATAGAAATACACTTGAGAAGATAAAAACAAGATGGAAGAGTGGAAGAAATAACAAAGGCATTAAAGAGAAGCAATTGAGCAGACCCTACCAGAAGAGGAAAAAATCAACAAGAAATGGATCACACAAGAGACCCTAAAGCTTGTCCAAGAGAAAAGAGCACTTAGACTTAGAAGAGACATATCTGATGAGTTGGAAAAACAGTACTGTATAAGGTAAAGTGCAATGAAGTGAAAAAATCAGGATGGATAAAATGAAATGGCTAGAGGATCAGTGTAGAAGCATAGAAAAATGTTATGGAGAATGTAAGACTAGAGAAGTATATAAGATGATCAAAAATGTCAACCAGAAATGGAAACCAAAACAAATGGCAATCAAAGATCAGAAGGGAGAGATTTTAGTTGCAAAGGTCCTACAGAGGTTGACAAGTTATTGCTCTGAACTATACAAGGAAGTGTTACATACAGATGTATTAGAGAATCTATTAGATGAATTAAGGAAAATATTGCCACCAAGTGTTGAAAATGAAATGATATTATGAGGGAGAAAGTTGAAAGAGCAGTGAAATGGTTAAAAGAAAATACAGAGTCCCGGACATGACAAAATCACAGGAGAAATGATTAAGCATGGAGGAGAAAGCTTAATTAATGAGATACACCAAGTGTGCAATGAGATATGGAAACAAGGAAAGATACCTAAAGAATGGGCAAAATCAGTATTGGAGACAATATATAAGAAAGACAGCATGTTAGAGTGCAAAAATTATAGAATGATTGCTCTAACAAGCCAGACAAGAAAAATTCTGATGATGATCTTAAAGGAGAGACTAAGTAGTTTGATGGAACAACATTTAGCAGATGAACAGGCAGGTTTCAGGAAAGAGAAGTACAATGCAGCAGATACTAACATTATAGCTATTAGTTGAAAAGGCAAGAAGAAAGCAGAAAAACATCTATTCCTGCTTTGTGGACTTTCAGAAGGCATTTGACAGCATAGACCAAAATGCCACCTTGGCAGTGCTAAAATCTTATGGAGTGGATCATGAACTAATAAACCCACTAAGTTATATTAATGATAATGCAGAAGCAGCTGTGAAATTGCATGGGGAGAGAGGAAACTGGTTCAAACCAAAAAGAGGCACCAGACAGGGAGATTCTATATCCCTAACTATCTTCATAAATCTCTTAGAAAGAGTCATGGATAAGATGATGCAAGAGATGCTGGGAAACACCAGTTCATGGTGTAAAATAAAATAACCTGAGATTTGCAGATTAGTTATCATTGAAGAAAGTGAAGAAAAACTAGAGAAAACATTTTCCTTCTTCATTAAGCAGATGTAAAGATACGGACTGACTATCAATAGCAAAAAAACTAAGACAATGATATTTGGTGATAACAACATGACAAGAAACATCCTAGTAGATGGGAAAGAAATTGAAAATCTAGAGAGCTTTACATATTTAGGAAGCAAACTAACCTATAATCTAAATTGCAAAAAAAAATAGAGATTAGAATAGCCAAGGCAAAAACAAATTTGAAAGCAATGGACAAAATCTGGAAAAGTAAAACAATTAGTTTGCAGACAAAATTAAAAGTATTGAACACCTGCATCTTCTCCTGCATGCTGTATGCCTGTGAGACATAGTTAATAACAAAAGATATGGAAATAAAAATATTAGCATTTGAAAGACACTGTTACAGAAAGATCTTACAAATAGGATGGATGCAGAAAGTCACAAAGAACTTTATAATAAGATATATATGAAAAAAGAATCTCTTACAAAAAATTATACAACAAAAGCTTCAACTGTTTGGACACAAGAATGAATGAGAACAGAAAAATTAAGACTTTAGTCTACGGCAGTGGTTCCCAAACTTTTTTGATTCTTGGTGCCCTTGCTAAATTCAGATTTTTCCAAGGTGCCCTATGTCAAATTCTAACAAGTATTAATACAATTTATGAAATAGTGAAATAGCCAATATCTTTTTAATTACAGAGTTAGGACGTTAAATAAAGCACGTATTTAAGGTAACAAAAAATTGAAATTGAACAAATTCAATTAATTATAATTAGTGAGATGGATGAGCCTGTTGATCAACGCACATTTTCTCAAACCTTGGAATCAAACTGGACACATCCACCCTCATTTCCTTCTCCACATTGATTTTTGTGCAATACTTAATTTTTATCACAGCGACAAACTCAGCTTCACACAAATAAGAAGTCACAAATGAAATTAAGATTCTCCGAGTGTACCACTCAAAAAGGATATTCATCTTTTACTGATATCTAAAGTTCAGTTAATTCATGCTGCTAAATTTTGTTTTCAATGTATTTCACAAGACAACTCAATAACATTCTCTTCTTCTGCAGCATCAAATTCAGATGGAGCACTGGCATTAAATGGATCTTGAATCCAAGCAAATTTATCAACATTATCATTTTGAAAATATTTCTCAAACCAGGTGATAAGCTGTGATAAATGTTCTTCAAAAATTTAGTTCATACCTCAAGAGAAATCAACTCTGTTGTTAGTCAAACACTGTTGCAAAAAGGGGAAACATCCTTTCCTCCATCT